AGATGAGTATAAGTGATAGGAAAAAGAATATGTGAACATGAAAGGAAATATACGATTTGTGTATAAGGAGATTTTGATTCTGAATGAATAAAGAATGAAAAGGATTGAGTTTAAAGGATCGGATATGATAAAGATTATATGGAAAAGTAGACGATAAGTTTGATGTAGAAGTAAGAGAAATGTGCAAGGTGATGTGAAAAGATTGTTCAATTATGTAAAAGGCATGTTTAATCAAATTGGAAGAAGAGTTAAGGTTGTGTTTTGGTCAAATGATGATGGAATAAGAGTTTGGGTTATTGTTATAAGTAATTAGAGATTAATGAAAAAAATAGATGGATTTATGATATAAAGTGAAGAGAATAGAGGCAAAAAGTAAGTGTATAATTAAAGAAGAGAAAAGATCGAAATGGATTAAGTTATTTGGAAAGTGAAGGCAAATCATTAATTGCAATTGCGTAAGGATTAAAGTGGAGGGAGCAACATGAGAACATTAACAGATATATTCTTATCAATGGGTATACTGAAAATTCGAGGGCGAATTTTGTTTAAAGGAGGGGAGATTTGTAACATCCCAAATCTGGGTTAGTGACTAAAATGAGAATTTTTGAAATTTGGGGATCAATTTAAGAAAATTGAAAAGTTTAAGGATTTAATAAGGATATTTCAGTATTGGATTAAAGGGTAAATATGAAAGGATTATAAGGGTATTATGGTAATTTAGTTTGAAAGATATTTTATCTCCCTTATTTAAGGAGATAACACGTGGGAATGGAGATATCTGTAAGCTTTCTTTCTTCTTCTCGTGGGTTCAAGCTCAAGTCTATAAGGTAAATTTGCTTCAGTTGATTAATTTCTTGAATTTATAAGTTGGGATGGAGTATTTGGGTATTATATAAGCTTAAGGTAAGCTTATATAAGCTTAAAATATTAAGCAGAGAAAATTTGAAAGGAAATTTGATTAAGGGTTGAGAAATGAATTATTGATTTAAAGAGGTTTTTGAAGTTCTAAGGATGGATTTGACTTGTCAAATGATTAATTAAGAAGTTAGAGGTGATAGAATTGAATTTAAAACACATGGAAAATTTGATGAAATTCTTTGATTCAAGAATTATGGTGAATTATAAGATATGGTGAAGTGTTATAATATTATAAGAAGGTTTAAATACGTATGGATAATTTTTAAGGTATAAGGAGGGATTAATAAGTAGAATTTGGGGTTAAAACAAGACATTTTCGTGCTTAAAATGTAATTCTGGGTAGTGTGCATCGATGCATCTTCAAGGTGTATCGATGCACTCTCAAATAAATGAACATCGAATGTCATTAGTGCATCGATGCATAAGGAGTGCATCGATACACCCCCTTAAGATTTAAACATCGAATGTAAATTGTGTACCGATGCATGGGTAGTGCATCGATGCACATGTTAAAGAATGCATCGATGCACTGTAATATGTACCGATGCACTTCAATGGAAAATGAATAAATCGCTATTCAGTCTATGAAATGATAGATTATAGTATATCTATTGGATACTGATAGTATAAATACATGATTGTGTAGATATAGAGCACGAACAAGTTACGGAACGATTATCAAGTTAAGATTCGATCGAAAGAAAAGAAATCATATGGGAAACTGAACTATATGACTGCATGAGAAGGATATGAGCCATATGACATGTTATATGTGAACATGAGAAAACAAAGTATAAGATATGAGCTATGTGATCCTATGAGAATATGAAAAGAAGCTATGTGACTACATGTATATGTGAAAGAAGCTATGAGCTTATATGACATGTGAAATGATAAAGTGAAAATGCCAATGTTAAATGATACGAGAGCTATAGGTATAGTTGGCATGCCAAGAGTCAAGGGTCTACGCGGTACTTCGGGACATATAGTGATCCTTCGGGATATTTCATAGGTCCTTCGGGACAAAATTTCATAGCACTAGTGGGACCCCTTACGAGTTATGGTGACAACGTAGTGCACAACCTCAATAGACTCACATATCTACAGTTCTCACAGGTGTACATAGGCTAATAAGAGATAACATTGAATACAATGTATGTGATATATATGTGTTTTGTTACATGAATTATATGATATGATATATGTGTGTTAATGATTATTGTATATGTTATAAGATATATGATATGAACATAATAGATCATATACATAAGAGAATAGAAAAATGAATGATAATGATATATTAGAAGATAATTATATGCATGTGTGGATTTGATATATGAATGGATATATGTTTGGGTATGATGTGATAGCAGTAATTGTTCATGCATGATTACAAGTTATAGTTTTCATTATATGTTTATTGCCTCACTAAGTCATAGACTTAGCTTGTGATTGTTTCACACGTAGGTTACAAAAGTGAGAAGAGTAAAGAGCAATGTGGAGCAAGATAGGTCAGTTCTCCTTACCAAAGGTCAGATCAGAAAAAAAGTGAATAATATGTCTTTTAATATATAAAGTTTTAGTTGGTATGTATTCAATAATATATTGTATAAGCTCTGAATAGTTATGTAAATGTTTTGAATAAGTTATATGTTATAGAAATTTTAAATTACTCACTATTTTATACAAGTAAATGTTTTGAAAAGTCAATGTGACACCTCGGACTCGGATCCGGGTTGGGGGTGTTACATATTTATTTATTTATACATGCATTGCATTTTATCTTTATTTTTAATTTTCTGACTGTCAGAGGTCTTCCATGGAAGCTGCTCTCAACTGGCGTTGGGGGCAGTCTACTACCCTACCTCCCCCTTACCCCATTACAATGGGAATAGGGTTTTGTTATTGTTGTTGTTGTTGTAATTTCATAAAAATAATAATATTAAATATTTAAAATATACTCCTTAAAATATAACATAATATTTTTATTTTAATATTATAATTTTTAATATTTTAATATGTAGTTAATATAATTAATAATATATTATTCTTATTTTAATAAATAATTAATATAATTTATAATAATTTTATTTTAATAAGATATAATAACCTTAATATTTTTATTTATAAAGTTGTAGATATAACATTTTAATAATAATATTGAATATTATTATTATTTTGTTAATAAATAATATTATTTATTGTATTCTATGTTTAGAATAAAGAATTTTTAATCAATTTATCAACTAATAAAAAATGAATTACATAACATCATTCAAATAACATAAAATGATTTCCATAAAATATTTTCCAATAAATGTAATTCATTTTACGGAATTCATTTTTCGAAATCTGTTTTCCGTGAAATAAACGGAATCTCAATCTAATGTAAAATTAAAGAGCTTTATATCATGAATCTAAATCCTACCTCACATGTATAGAGAGTTAGATTTGTTGATCTATATGTAAAAGTTTTAAGTTTTACGTTTTTTTAAAATTGTTTGATGAATAAAATTAATAATAAAGAATGAAGATATTTTTGCGGAAAAAATGTTATCATCGATTTAAGATTTTTAATTTATTTTTACTTAGTCCTAAAAAATATAAATTTAAAAATTATACTACATGCAAGTGATTCTTGAACTTATATATAACGATTAACAACAAATAATTAATTTCAAAACGTTTTAGAAGATGGGGAGAGACAGTGTTAGTGAGATCAATTGTTTTTTATTACGTAAGAGAAAAGAATTATGAGATCGAATTCGTAACTTAATTAAGATATTCTTTTAATAAAAATATTATTCCTGCATCGTCTATTTAGTTGATATTAAATATGAACAGGAAAAATATATTAAAAATAATAGTGGATCCTATTCTTAAATACATAGAGGTCTTATCTATTGAAGGCGAGTGAGGCAAAATCCTAAAGATTTCTGATGCCCTTGCGGCCCTTCACTTGGCTATGCTTGTGTATAGCAATCCTTTTCTTTGTTTTTCTCTGTTTACAACCCCACTTTTATGCCCATAAAAACCCCCCACAGCTAAATATCTAACCTAAAAATATCTCACATTTTCAAACCCTAAGAAAGATGTGCCAAAAACATCAGTTCCCTCGTTTGCATTGCCACCCACGACTACATTAGGTTAGTATTACACTCATCTCCCTATTTCTTTTACCTCCCTTTTCTTCAGTTTGGTTTGGTTATTTGTTTTGTAGGTTCAACACATGATAGAGAGCTGTCTGGTTTTCCGGATGAGCAGACACGAGTGTGTGGAAGCACTTACCAAGCATGCCAATATCCAACCCACCATCACCCTAACTGGTACTCTTTTTTTTTACCTTAATCTCTCATCGTATCGTGTTTGTGTATTTGATTGCATCGCCGACATTGAACCATTCGTTACTATAACATGTAGAGCTGCTTTTCGTTAAACTAAAACAGAAAAACAGCCCTACATGTTAATGTATTTTTATCGTATCGTAATCGCGTGTCAAGATTGAACCATTCATCAACAGGTAGAGTTGCTTTTTGTTTAGCTCAAACCCTCTGTATTCATGATCTTGTTTAAATGTTTTAGAATCTTTGTTTAAGATGCTTTGCTTTTGTTTTGCAGTTTGAGAAGGGTTGATTAAAGAGAACAAAGCCTTCTTTCGAGAGTATTTCCAGGCTTCATCTCCTACACAGTTTAGCAGTGAAGCCAACCAAACTTTGCATTCTTATGATTAATGTAATTCACGGAGATTCTTCCAAACTATGGCTCATTTCAGAACCGCCGATTCAAATAACAAAATAGGTCTGATCAATTTTTTTGGTGATAAAAGAAACTAACCGGCCATCACCAATACAGATTTAATACAGACCCAAAGACAAATTTTGAATTTTTCAAGTTGATTACGGGTTCAAAGCTTGGACCAAATGGGGGGAAAACCCGATAACAGTCCAACCTGAAAATTATGGCATCTAAGAAAGAATTCATGAAGAAAATAGTCACAACAATGGAACAAACAAGACATATCTGATATCTGATTCAGCTAAACTTCATATCTCTATTAAAAGCCCCTCAAACGGAAATAGTACTAGAAATTAAACCACAGTTCATATTTGATACCACTGTGTTGTTGTACTAATAGTTCGACTTAAAGGACAGAATCGACATGAAACCGAACTCGGTATTCATTTATTAGTTTTAGGGTAGATAGGAAGCTTAACTATATTCTAAACGGATGATTTTGCAATAGCACCAGCTTCGGTTACGGATGATTTTGCAATAGCACCAGCTTCGGTTATGGATGATTTTGCAATAGCACCAGCTTCGGTTAGCAGAGGAACAAGTTTACCTGCATTGTGCATGTCTGTTGTAGCTGCAAGATATACAAATACAGTAATTAATTAACAGGGACGGTAAGAGGATTTCAATTCCTATATGAATAAAATATGACAACATAGAGTTTAAAGGGCATACTGTCACAGCCACCGATGTGTTTCCCGGCAATGAAAACATTTGGCACAGTTCGTTGTCCGGTCCACTCAGCCAGAGCTGCTTGAATTTCACTTCCATCACCTTGCAAAAAGCAAAACACAAAAGCCAATAATTTGCTAAAGTTGAACAAGACAGAGTTGCAAATCCGACCGTCAACTCGTATTGACAGATAGAAAATTTTGCAGGGAGCATCTACAGCTACAATCCCGGAGGAAGTAAACTGTTCAGTGTATCAATGAGTTGTTAGTACTGATTCAAGATAATGTACCCAATCATTCACAATGCCAGAAGACATTCAATCGGTTTAGAGGCATTCTTTAGAGGACTTTATTAAAGGTAATGGACTTACAGTCCATTATTTTTATAACCAAAACCATACACTCTTGTCGTCCAAATCGACATCTTGAAACATTGGAACCGCCCAATCGACAACGAAGACAACTGTGCCGAGCTGAATTATGTCATCTTTCAAAGCTAAACTCAGGATACCAGAGATAAGGCTTGGTATCCATTGCTAGATGCAATGGCCCCTAGAATTTGATAACAAATGTACAGATTCTCCTATATTACCATTCAAATTTCAAACTGCCCCTCGAACTCGAGATTACATCCCACATAAAACCCAACTGATGGAGCCATGGAATTTGATAAAAAGAACACTACAGATTCTCGTATAGTACTGTCGAACCATCTCTCAAACTAGAGATTCTGTCTCACCCAAAAGAGAAAAAAAAACTAATGGAGCCATGAACTTGAGATTACTTCGACATAAGAACACAATTAGAAATCAGCAAATCATCGACTTCAACCAGAAAGCAAAGTTCAGTCAACCAAAAATAAATTTAATTGTTTTTAAAGGACACAGGCTCTACCAAATCCAAGAATAAGTATTTAAAAGTTAGAAAGTGGTCATTTAAATTTATTGAATGATAACAAAATGATCACCAAATTTTATGGAACTCTTACAAAATGATCATTAAATTTATAGAACTATTACAATTATTACCAAAACGATTATTTAAGCATAATTCAATGACATCTGGATTAGTTAACCCCCCCCCCCAACAAAAAAAAATCTTAGAATAACTTCTATAGCTTGGGACTTATCCGCTATACAAGACTTTTGATAGTTTCCCTACGTTTTAATAAATTAATTTATACATGTTTCCTAAAACCGTAACTTTTTTCATAAACTATAATCCACAAAAATAAAGCCCCAGAAAACATTGTTTGATTGTAGTGAAAGACATCAATTTCAAGAAACCAAGCAGAATCCAATCAAATTAATACTAACAAGAATTAAAGCAACTAAAATTTCATTTCAAATCTTAAATCACAAAACCTCTTTGATTTCACCGCAAACAGAAGGAGCAAAAGCATTGCTTGATTTTAGTGAAGGGACCAACTCCAAGACGCAAACGAGATTAATAATATCAAAATTCAAGCAATCAAAACATCATTTCAGATCACACAATTGTTCCAAATGAATAAAATAAGAAAGAAAACTAACTTTCTTTGTCTAGCTCGATGGCCTTGAAAGAAGCTCCAAGTTGTTGAAGCAACTTCTTCACATCCACACAGAACGGGCAGTACGACTTGCTGCATCAACGCATGCGTATAAAATACCAAGGAGAAAAAAATGTACACGAACGAGGGATGATGATACGTATAAAACTACTAATACCTGAAAACGACGACGGTACTGGCATCAACGATTTCCTTAGCCTTTGGCAAAGCCATTTTTCTCTTCTCAGCCTTTGAAGTAAACGAGAGAGCGTTGAGGGCTTTATAGTGAAACGGGAAATGAGAGAGAAAAGAGGCGTAGATTTCGTGGGAAAGCTAAGGGAAGTGATGATGAAGAAGATAGGTTTTCCAAAACGATCTGGACCGTTGATATGATTCCAAATTAGTATCGGTGGGCCCTTTCGGATTTTAGCCCACGAATTGTTTCTGCCTTTTTCCAATTAATTAATAATTTTATTTTGATCGGATAAACATCAACCAGAAACAAATATTCGAGGTCAAATTCTTTTCTTGTGGTCCTTTTACTTTAAGTTAGTCGTTTTTAGTTTATGTATTTTTTTAAATCTTAGATTTTGAAATTCGATCTTAATTTAAATAATAAGTGTTCATATATATATATATATATATTAGGGGTGAGCAAAGCTCGACTCAAATAGAAAAATTGATTTTTTTCAACTCGATTCGACTATAAAAAACTCGACTCGAATTGACTTCGAGTTACAATTTCATAAACTCGACTCGAAAAAAAATTGTTCAAATCGAGTTGTAAAATGCAACTCGAATAACTCGGAATTTTTAGTAATTAGTGAATTTATTTTCAAGTTTGAGTCGAGTCCTTAGACTTTGTATGATATATGTATATTATATATGAAAAAAAATGAAGAAACATATTTATATTGTATATATGGTTATAGAAAGTCACTTAAATTAGAACAAAATAATATTATAATATTATAAGTATTCACAATTAAATTAAATAAAAATTCGAAAAATTGACTCGACTTTATTTGAAAAAATTTCAAATCAACTCCGAGTTATAAAATATGACTCATCAACTCGAAGACCAATGTGGAGGCTCCACAACTCACCCTGAAGAGGCATGACAATGCCGAGAGCTTTTTGAAATTCAACGATCCAACCACCATGCTAGAGCAGAACACACCTCTGAGAGTCGAAACTAGTGGCAGATACACAGAGACATCGATGTTCAAGCAAATCTAGTATGATAGAGATGTGGAGCCTGCATAAAGAACTCATGTTGATGTTAGTGAGGAGCAATCACCTTGAAGGAGAGATCTGCGAAGTGGAGAGCCCAAACAGAGCTAAGGCGGAGGCATCGAAGAGAGATGAGTAGTATTAGATATATTACATAAATTGTCATCGAGCCATTTGTGAATGGAGCAGCCACAGAAATCAATAGCATGACCAATGGGAATAAGAGTTAGCCAAAGGCATCAGGTCGTATAACAGTCATAGAAGACTTGTATTATATGTTCTAAATTTAATTTATGTTCTCTAATTTAAGTTTTAAATCTTTATGGTTTAATCATACTATTTTTGTACTATTTAAGTTAGAACGAAAATTTTAAAAATAATAAAATTAAACTAAATTAGGTCATGTAATACCCTAATCCAGTACTACCCCAAGACTGATAGATTAGAATGTCACACGAGACTATCAAAGTGGCTAATCCCAAATTTTCTTTAAAAACTGGCTGTAAAACATATGATAAAAATCTATCCACGGTAAAAAAATAAATAAATAATTTACATATACGAGAAGCTCCCAAAATACCCAAATCAATTACAGTATTGAGTTTAAAGCAAAATAGAGTTGCATTTGAATACAAACAGGTTTAGAATAGTACATGCCCTTTAAAATAATTCAAGACGTACTCTAATGCATCTGCTGGACCGGAAATGTTGCCAACGATAATGCTCCCTACTGATCACTTAGGAACCTATGCATGAAAACATATATTTGAATGTTGAGCTTACAAGCTTAATGTCACACTAATAATTGTATTGTACTACATGCATTCACCAAATGAGCTAGTTAGTGGCATAGGTATGAATACATGTGAAATATTGATATAAACTGTTGGGTAGGCATCATGGTGTGGCTGAGGGTTTTGTATCTCGGAGCTTACACCCCTCTAGCCTTCCTAAATACCCTTAGGTATCTGGGGTGAGATCCAGAACTACATCAGAAAAGTACACCTGACCAACTTATTTCGTCAGTCTTGAGGCATCTACGCCTAGTCGGCTATTGAAGTGCCTTGGCACTGACTAGGATATGCAATTAAAATTGTCGTATTCTGCTAAGGAGACTTGGGTGTCCTAGCTATTTCCCGATCGTCAAACAAGACTAGTTTTATGTAGTCCTAGTTGTTACTGTTTCTAGCTATTTTGAAATTAATTATTGTTCTTACTTGTAGTTTTATATACTGATATTTTGATGTTATTGGGTCCTTCAAGTCTAATAATGTAATCACTGATTACTTATCCAAAAACTATTCATTGGTACCGATACTAACCATTCAGTATTGATATTGACCCTAAGTATTGATACTCACATTCTGGTATCAATACCTATTGACTGATATATATATATATATATATATATATTGATAGGGGAGGGAGTATCTGTACTTTAGTGTTGGGGTATCGATACTGCCTTGAGTATCGATATCGAATTTAGGTTTGATGTTTTGAAAAATACCTCAGTATCAATACCCCTACTAGGAGTATCGATACTCCCATGAGTACCGATACCAAAAATGCATATGGAAATCTACTAAGTAATATCGGTATCGATACTCCTACTGAGAGTATCGAGACCCAATACCTATTATTGATACCCAATGAAAGAGTATCGATACTCCTAGTCTAAAATTCCCTTGTTTTGAACTATCTGACGTACAATATTAGTATTGTTCTTCTAGTACCAATACTTGTGCCTAGAAATACGTTGTTTTGGTCACGAAAAAAATGCTAACTTCTTACCCCAAATGCCCTATTAAGGTTCCCAACCGTTATTAAAGTTTTATGAGGATTAAGAGGGGGCATAAAAGGTCTTTTAACATACTGAAAAACATCAAAAGATGCATCTACTATGAACACACTTAATAACTTATCTAGTGATTTACATACGGTAGAGTTGAGTTAGAAGTGTGTTACCTTGAGTTCCTAAGTTGTTGGAAGCTTCTTCACTCAATCAAGGGTGAGCTTTTCCTTCACTTTTGCCTTGGAGATTTCTCCTATTTCTCTCACTAGACAATGCAACAACCACAAGTGTTACTAACTTATTTAAGAACTTGAGGAGAGACCAAGAACAACTTCTAAGACTTAAATCCCTAGAAAACGAGTTGGATTACTTGACTTTTCATAAACCCCATAAAACCCGCATTTGACTATCTTAACCAAAATTTGTAAAAGAGGGCTTGAAATGAAGTTTGGAAATAAGAGATTAAAGTTTTTACCTTGAGGTTGTTGGGTGAAGTCTGAAATATTACAAAGCTTTTACCTTTTTTTTTTGAAATGCTAAAGGAAATAAGGGATTTTGAAATGGAGAAGAAAACAAGGAGAATGGTGAAAAATATATACCAGAGATGCTTCAGAGGTGATATCACTCATCTTAATTTGTTTTTAGGTTTTTTGAAACAAAATTGGGTAAATTATTCCCTTGGTCCTTCAAGCTTTGGTCACTATTTCAAAAGCATCCTTTTACCAACTATTGGGCCCAAATTAAGCCCAATTCCACTCAAACTCGGGCTAAGGCTTCCCACAGGCTATGAAATTTATATAAGGTTCTTTCCGGTTAGCGTGAAGTTCCTAACTTGGGATTTAAGGCATTACAAGTCAAGTATTTGAGTTAAGCTTGACGTTGATATTTGACTTAAACTTTTTACTATTTCACCTTGACAATAACTACGTATAACATAACGGGTTCATGGTTCATGACTTTCAACAGTAACTTATTCAAAACATGATTATTAATTATTTTTAAACTTAGATTCTATTTAGTTTAAAATTCAAATTTTCTTTAAATAAGTAATTTTCATTTCATAAAAAAATAGAATAAAGTTGCTACAGCAAACACCAAAACCATCAGCTTACATCAAAAACATACCGATGGATAGTACCACTACCCCCCAAATCATCTTACGTCATCCTACCTTATTCTGCTTTTTCCACAAAAACTCTCAAGATAAAATTTAAATTTTTTTATATACATATAAAATAAATATTCTTGTTTAATCGAATCTGAACGTGTACAATACCAGTTTTTGCCGTTCCTACTCATAGTATGTGAAGCATCAACTACTACTAATTTATACTAATTTATAATTATTGAAATGTTAAAAGAAATCAAATCATAAAAAATGCATTCATACTTTGTCTTTTATCATTTTTGAAAAGGCTAAAAATTGCAGAACATATTTATGTTTTTTCAGGAGAGAATCAAAGAAAGAAAAACATAAACATTGCTGTTAAAAAAGGGTTAAAACTCGAACCATTCAACGATTGAAGAGTTATTGTTATCTCTAGAGGTGTCAAGTTTGAACACATCGTATGTCAACGGTATTTGAGCATCCACTAGATTAATATAAAAGGGGGTGAAGACTAAAAGATAACACATAATTAAAGAAGATAGAGGTGAGTTTATAATCAAATAAAATCGAGGAAAATTTTTGAATTGATGAATTTTATTTTACTTTTATTTGAATTTTTTAAGAATTGAGTCTAATCAAATTTATGAAATTCAAGTTGAGTTGTTCTAATTTATATTTAAATTTAAATATTTGTAATATTATGGTACTAATTGATTCTAATTTATATGTATTTCTACAATCATATATGATATACATATATATTTCTTTATATTATTTCGTATGTGATATATATGTATCATCAAACTTGAGAACCAATCGGGTAATTATTAAAATTTTAGAGTTATTACGAGTAAAAAAGGTAAACTACAAAAAATGATTACTAACATTTGAATAAATTTTCATTTTCCGTACTAAATTTAAAAAATAACGAAAATGTCACTAATATAACATTATCATTTTGTAACAAAATAATCACTTCACTGTCATCCCTATTAAATTGATGATGTGACAGAGTTAACAAAAAAGTTAATATTTGTTTTTATCCCTAGACTATTGTTAAAACATTAAGTAAGCCCTTAAACAATTATTCTATATCTAATTTTAAATTATCTTATATTTTTCATATTTTTTGTATTATTTATTGATTATCTAATTTTACACCTTTGACA